GTTATTTTTGGAAAATGGCAACTTGGACTCTATTTTACCGAGTTTGTTTAGGATTATGACCAAAAAGAGGAAGAATTCTGGCTTCTTGTATTAATAATAAATATAGTCCTGTTTTACAGTATCATCAGAGGCTTACACCATTGAAGCAAATTGAGTGCCCTTTCCCTATTTGGATTCTGAAAATCTCCTTTTTCTTCTATCCCTCCCCTTCAGGCCCAGATCACTGAACTTAGAATAATGGCTACAGACATGGAGCTAATTCAACTTTCCGAAATTGCCAATAAAGCTGCAGATGCTGCAGGAGAAGTAGTGCGAAAACACTATTCCAACAATGCCACGAGATTCCAGTTCAGAGAAAAAGACGGTGACGGACCAGTCACCCGCGCTGACGTGGAAGCCGAACAGGCCATAGTCTCCGTGATTCTAGACGCTTTTCCTTCCCATTCGATTTATGGGGAAGAAACCGGTTGGCACAATCGCGATAATGCTCCTTACAACGACGATGCGAAGAGAGCCTATGATTCACTTTCGAAGAAGGTGGGTAAGAGGTTATTTAATGGAAATTGTATTGTTTTTGGTGAGTTGGCTTCGGGTTTTGCTGATGTTGTAGTGGATTGTGCTCTTGATCCTTATGATTTTCTCGCCCTTGTTCCGGTGGTTGAGGGCGCCGGCGGCATTGTTACTGATTGGGAAGGGCGTGAGCTTCTCTGGAATGCTTCAACTCCGGTACCGGAAGGCGGATTTAAGATTGTGGCTACTGCCGGAAAAAACATTCATCAACATGTTATATCTGCACTTTCACATTGACTTGTTTAGTTAGTTATTTCATAGAGTTTATATATGCGGTTTTGTAATGTTACTTAGTGTTAGCAAATTACGAAATAGTTTCTGTTTAGCTTTTGTTTGCAAAGCTAGTTAGCGCCTTGAGTTGAATTTAACTAAGTTAAATTACATATACTTTAAGTCCACATGATATTATCATTTGTTATGAATTGCAGTAAGCTCTGACTTGATTAAGTAGAGTGTAAGCTGATTAGTATATAGAAAGGTCTTTGTTATGGTAAACTTATCTTGAGAAAACTGTAGCATATGTGTTAGGATGATTGCAGTATAATCCTTTTGTTTACCACACCTCCATTACCTTCACAAATGATTACTGCCATTTAGTCATTTTGGGGAGAGTTGTTTGTTCCAAAAACTCGAACAAGGATAGGAGAGCCACGTAGATTTGTCTATATCATGTCATGGCTAAACTCCTACATTGTTCTGAGAAATTTCCTTCGAAATTATGACAGGACATTGAAAAATAAAGAACTCCAGAAACCAGGAAACTTCTTAAACGATGACATTAGCATTGAGGGTTTTACTATCTGCATATTTGCTCAAAAGTATATGCATCTCTACCTGCACTTCTTTGAACAGAAAAAAAAAAAAATCAATTGCAACAGCATCAGTTACACTTCTCATGTGAGATTGATGATTCAAATCTTAAACTCAGATAATACATTCAGAACTGCTCTGCAGAATAGGGTGCTATAGCCCCGCTGACAAAAAAAGAGCAGACCATTTGACACAGAAGCAAAAATACCTTATTTCCTTTTCTACATCAAGAAATCTAACTAAAATTCATCAACACTTAAACTTCATAAAGAACAACTTGCACAGTCGTTTTAAACAACAGAATCAGTTAAATTACATCATAAGTCAACGATATAGTCGAATCCTGAGAGCCAAGTTCTCCCAAACAGAAGCCAAAACATAAGCAAAGCCCAGCATCCCACCTTTCACACAATGAAGGCATGTAACATGGACACATAGAGGAATTATCTGAATTCCATTTATAGCCAAATTTTCATAGAAATGGCAGCAATCATTTAAAAAGTTATCCACCATACAACAAAGACCTTCTTTATATTAGCCAAAGATACAATTATATCAGCTTAGACTACAATTTGAATCAAGTCAGAGCTTACTGCAATTCATAACAAGGAAGAAATCATGTGGACTTCCAGCAGATTTACTTTAATCTAGTTAGATTGTACGCACGGCGCTGACTACTTTTCCAGCCAAACCTAAAAAATTGCTAGATATGGAACTTAATAATGAGCTTTTCTTGAATTGCATAGTTTTTTCCTAATGTACCAGAGTAACACATTTATTCCTTTGATTCCAATATCACAACTTAACTTTGATAATGAAACAAATTTCCAAATACTATTGGACAATGTAACCAATGCAATGGAACGATATTTCACATAATTTTAGGTTATGTTAACTTATGCAAGAAAGTAGAAGGAATTCAGTTATAACATTTCAAGGCTCCAGGTATGAGACTCAGTCCTTCAACAATTTCAGAAATTTAAAAGCATGAGCTAAGAAGAAACTGACTCGTGCATTAATCTGCTAGCTCATCTATAGAGGGATATAAATGGGCTACAATGATAAATCAGTGCCCCTACAGTGAGTTTTCCTTACTCCCAACACTCTGACTAGTAGTGGTTATGGTACTGACTCGTAAAACAAACAAAGCATGTTTGATATTGGCTTACCTACTATAAACAAAATAAAACAGGGAAGATGCTATTGATACATAAGATTGCAAACTGCCCTCCTTGTAAGGCCAAGAAAGCAACAGCAAACTAAACTATGGAGCCGTTAAACAAGCTCATTATGAGCTAATGGATCCATGTAACGAACTGCCAACAACTCCCCTCAATCCTTCAGCTTCTCTCTTGATCACAAAAAGACAGTTATGGACATATCCTGGAAATTCCTCTGGAGAGATCTTATATTGGCATAAACATAGTGGATTAGAGCAAATACTAAAACCTGTAAAAAAAAACACTAGGGCCCGTTTGGATGGAAGGATTTGGCCCTATGTCTTTCGAATTCATAATCATGTTCACCTATTTGGACATACCTAAGACGATATCAATTGAAAACTAACTCAAAGCACACCTCATTTCAGCTCTTACTTTGAATTCATTTCAAGTGACACGTGAAAACATGTCACTTGAAATCTTAAATATTTGAATCCCCTCCCTCAATTGTCTCCATCAAAAAAGACACTAAAGAAAATACCATAATTACAATATTTCCAGAATAAACATATTGGAGATCTGAAAATCTAAAAGTTCAATGCAAGAAACCATGTTCATGCTTGTTCTTCACCTCTCTACCTCAATGTGAACTCAGGTAACATCGGTTCAAATAAGTAAAACCATAGAAACATAAAAGGACACTGTGTAGTATCCAAGGGATGACTGAGTGGCTGACACATAGTAGTACCAATCTCGAGATCCCATATTTGTATCATAGCTAGTAGTAGCTACAACACTTAGTATTAGCTATCAGCTCCAACCTTGGTGGGTTTTTTTACCTAGCACCTATACTTGTTGAGTTGTTGTAGCAGACCCTGGCTGATTATTCGAGGTGCACAACAGTTGACTAGAACATCATGGTTTTACTTATTTGAACCGATGTTACCTGAGTTCACATTGAGGTAGAGAGGTGAAGAACAAGCATGATGTCCTACAACACTTAGTATAAGCTATCAGCTCCAACCTTGGTGGGTTTTTTTACCTAGCGCCTATACTTGTTGTAGCAGACCCTGGCTGATTATTCGAGGTGCACAACAGTTGACTAGGACATCACCGTCTTAAAAGAAATGAAACATGGAAGCAAGATAGTTTTTGAACTTTTTTTTAACTGAAAGAATAAAACTAGCATACTGATGCAAAAAGAATCCCACATTAAAGAAAAAAGGCAAAACAGTTTTAGTAGTTAAATGGAATATTCGACGATATAACAACTGATATATGAAATGTATTACAAAATATAGCTATTAGCGTCTTTTCATCATTTGCACAAAATGTTATTAGCAACTCTTATCATGTAAGCATCAAGAATATGTAAGTCTTCTGTTTCGAAGAAACAATTAACTGCTAACATGAGAATTAGAAACCAAAATATTAACTTTTCGAAAAAAGAACAGATGCAGCAATCCCACGCTGCCATGCCTAGTAAGTCTAATGGAAAAGTTGAAAGAATGGGAAGGAAGAACCATGATATTGAAGAAGAAAATGGGATTTATGGGAAAAAACCAACATATTGCTTCAGCTACACATAAGTGAAAGACATCAACAAAAAGGAAAGAGGGGCAACAAATAAATGGAAAGAGAAAGCTCACTTTTTTAGTTGAGTGTGTGTCCATTATTGGGTCAGGCAAGTCAAAGTTTGCATAAAAGAAAATCAAAAGACGGAGAAATCTAACTGGAATACTGTATCAGATTGCATCTGCTAAGATTATTTTGTGCTTCCCAGTTCCCAGGGATAAGTGGACATATACAGTGTCCAAGAGAAGTGGCATGTTAAACTTCTGTAAAAAATTTAATCACGCTTAAAATCACCTGGAAGATGTCTCGTTCACAGATCAGTTAACATAGCAAGCAACGGACCAGTTAACAAACATCAGCTATTTCTCACTTTAGATTGTGGAGATATGGACTTAGCATTTTGGTAGGTAGATAGCAGTATTCAGGCTTACTGAACTCTCTTGAATCTCAATGCAGTAAATCAAATGCCATAATCCGTCTAAGCTTCAAATACATAAAAGACTAACAAGATACAGCACATACCACTATCCTTATATTGCATCTAGGGTCATATCAGCTATATGCTCTTATGATGTATTTACATAACATAGCCTGCAGCAAACGGCATATGTTGAGACCATTGCTACAGCGTCTCAGTTCATCAACTTTCATTAGCCATTGAACCACCTGCATGTAAGTGGTCATGTCAAGGTTAACATAGTAAAACAAAAACTGTATATCTTATTAGCATTCAAGCTACAACCATCGATATAGGACTGTATTTGGGTATACTCTGCCTGCATCAAACACAAAAATGGACAACTGAAAAGCTTTTGAAACAAGACAGATACCAATGGCTAGTTAATTTTTTTTTTAGCCATACAAAGAAGTCAACAAGAGGAAGCGTTGACCAAGAATAAATGGATTTCATATACTTCTCCATGGAAATTGGAAAAGAAAATGATCAGAACTGTAGTTGAATAATTTACAACCAAAGGGACAAAAATGTCCACTTCGGCTCTCAGCTTGAGAAACTGAACATACGAAAAGAACAAATTAACAATTTAAAAATGAAAGTATAATTGAATTTCATTGTTTATAAATCACAACTCCGTAAAGTATAAGTTAGAACTCTAAGTTGAATCCAATCAAATTGCCTATTCGTTTTTCCAAGCATATAAAAAGAGTGAGAAACCAAGACTATGCGACTGGGCCTCTCGGAATCTCTGTGACCAAGACCAATGTAGTGTCTGGGGATCGCAGACGGGCTGGGCTGCCCATAATTTCTCAGCTGAAAGGCTGGTCTTGAACATAAATACACCATCTCCAGCGGACGTGCCAAAGAGCCAGTTATGAACATCCCAAAATACTTCTACGCCAAGGCCATCAACCAAAATGGTATGGTTACCGCGGAACTTCCATCTGAGCCTCTTTACCTGCATCATCGGCTTACTGTCCACACGGATGACAAGGCATGGGTCGCTGGTTCCACTGGTATCACATTCAATCACGAGATCGTGCACTCGACCATTATCACAAAACTGAGCCTTAGTGCCAAATACCTTCTTGCCAAATATATGCTCCTTCTTAGCAATAAAAACAGCACCAGAAGCAGAAGGCGTGGCACCTGTTTTCTTGGTAGCTTCTTTTCGCATATCACCAAGGAGCAAAATCATTTGCCTTTCGGAAACAACACAAACATAGAATCCTTCTAATGGCTCTGGACCAGATCCAAACTTAGCTGAGGTAAGGTCCCAATATACATCAATTTTCCTAGAATATGCTTCTAAAGTCTTTGACCCTTTCTTCTTGGAGAACAACCAGGGCTTAATATCAACTTTACAGAGGCACTGATTTGTATTATCATCAATCCCAACAGTAAGACCTTGACCCATCAAATTCTTACTCCATGTAACATTAAGCAAACAAGATTTCCCACGCAATTTACACTGGTACACACAAGTTACCAAATTCTGAGCAGCCTTATTAGTAGATGAAAAATCAGCTACTTGAACCCCAGTTTCCCCAAAACAAGAAGGAAAATCCTTCATACTGTAACCAAATGAAAATCCTAATTTCTTCTTCCCCTTTTCTTCTCTCTCTGATTTATGCACAAAGATTCGATTTTTAATTCTACAAACAACAAAAATAGGGACTTTCAGAATTGAGCACAAAAAAGAGATAACAAAAAGCATTTATTTTGAGCAGAAAAAGCAACATACCTCAACTAATCAGCAAAGAAAGAGACAGAACTATATCAAGAATTGCTTCAAAATCCTCCTCTCAAGGACTGGTGTGATCTGAGAGTTATGTATACAAGATGCATTTTGCTGCACACAAGTATGAACCCAGCTTCATAAAAGGAGAAGAAAAGGATGAGGGTCCCTTTAAATTATAGACAAAAACAAAAATGGGGAATGTAGCAGTGAAAAAAAACAAATAAAGAATTAAAGAATTTGATAGAGAGTGAAGGAGAGAGAAGCAGACAAAAAGTAGACTACACAGACTCATTTCAGTCACTAAAGTAGAGACTAACTCTGTACACAATTATTATGCATAAAAAAATACTTAGTAGTAAGTATTAAATATCCCTATAAAAATGAAGGAAAAATGATATATATATATATATATATATATATATATATATATATATATATATATATATATATATACATATATACATATATACTAGCAAGATGGTGACAGGCTTTAGTAGGATGAAACAACAAACAAAAGGTAAAGAATGTAAGGTAACAGGCTAACAGCAACTCAATGTTGCTGGAAAAGGCTGGTTTTTTAACAAAACTACTCAATGAAAGAAGCAGAGAAAGAGGGGAAAAATATACTCTCTAGACAAATAAGAAAAAAAGAAGGAATTCACAGGCTGTCTTTGGTATTTTCTTTTTTGACTATGCTTTTACCTGACATTCTCACGTGTAGAATCAAATTCTTATGATCAGCACATAAAAGCTGAATTTTCCCTCCCCCGGTGTTTTCCAAAACCTTTTCACAGATCCTCTATTCCCATATTGGATTTTTGAACATTAAAAAAGAAATACTTGTAAAAAATTCATCTTTGAATGTACTCTATAAAGCATTATTACGTATGGACCATCACAACATAAGAAAATACAAAAGAGAAGGAAAAATATAAAAAGTTTTTTTCCCTTTGTATATGTAGAAATGGGAAGCAGAGGGTCTTTCGGAAGCTGTCTCTCAACTCCCAGGATAGGGGTAAGATCTGCGTACACATTACCCTCCCAAAATCTCACTTGTGGCATTCTACTGTGTTGTTGTTGTTTTATATGTAGAAATTGAAGAATTTCGAAATTAAATTGACCGAGACTTTCTAGTAACTCCTTACTCTTTAAGATTGGATTTTTTAATGGTAATTTTTATTTTATTTTTTTGAACATACTCTAGAAAGTGTAGAATTTTGCATACACTAAAAAACTAAATGAAATGAAAAGGTGCATTTATTCCCTTTATTCTTTATTTAAAAGGGGGTATGGTAAGAATCTTGAAATTAAATACATAAGGGTACTTCTTACCACTTTGAATTGAAGCATGTAATGTAGAGACTAAGAAATTAAAGAGAATTCAATGTAGGTGTGACCTTTTTTGGTATTTACTTGACTTTGATTTTGGAAGAATTAAAAGGAAGTGTTAAAAGAGGGAGATTTTTGGCTGATGATTTGGGTGATAAGGGGTCAATTTCCAAGTTGTAAGTTGTTGCCACGATGTTGCATTTAATTAGTCAAATACATGTATTTTTGCATACTTAAACCATTTGGAATCTCAAGGGGGGTTTAGGTAGTGGGATGGTGGCCCAGCCAGGTGGTGGTATACCAAAACACCAAAAAAATATGGTTTAAATTTGTCAATGTCCTATCTGAAATTGGTTAATCTTATTTTCAGTTAAATTATTTGTTTATTCATATTCTTGTTATCGTCTTGTATTTTTTCCTAGATCTCCAAAAAAAATAGGTGGACTCTACGTATTTAAAATTTTCGGGAAGAAAGGGTATTTTTTTTAACTGTCATTTAGATTGTAAAAAATTAGACATTTTTTCTGAGGGGGTAAGATTGAACCAAGAAATTAATAAATATCAAAATTGCTCAATTTCAAGTAATAAAGGAGCAAATTTGACCTTTTTCTCATTTCAAAAGGTATTATACTTCAGAGTCTCTCCAACCCATAAAAGAAAAAGAAGAAAAAGGGAAAATAAACGATAAATGGATGTCTCACAAGAGATGGAATAATTTGTAAAAATTGCACGGGACGCCCTATTTGGTCGCCCTCATTTAACCTATACTCACTTTTTAAATTTTTTTAAAATTGTACCTACTTTTTAAACAACTTCAGGCATCTTTCTCCTCCTTCGTTTTCTTCTTCTTCTCCTTCTTCTTTTCTTCTTGCTCTTCGGGTGACAATGATTTTATATGGTGGTTGTGAACATATTTTAATATAGTTTATGATATTTTACAATGGTGAGTTGTTATGACGCTTTATTTTTTACTATTGCTTAGGGTTTCTTCTTTTTCTTTTTCTTAATTGCAAAATGGATTCATTAGATTTATTGTTGTTTAACAAATTGATGATTGGGGTTTATTCCTGATGATATTAGGAGGTTATGTTTTAAATTTGAGCTCATTTGGAGTAGATTTAGGTATTAAATCGTATATTGGATTGTTATAATTCGAAGAATAAATTTCTGTTTCTAGGCAATGTCACGACCCAAACCGATTGGCCGCGACGGGCACCCCATACCTTACTCAACCGAGTACCAACGTAATGTATCTTTCGTATCATACTATCATTGACAAATGAGCCGGAGAGGCTCTCGTGAGATAAGTAGAATAAAGCATGAGGGAATATTCGTCATATGACGACCCAACATGTAATACAAACTTATACATGTGACATACGGTATAAGACCAAAATGATCACTCGTATACTGAACATAGACCGACAAGGCCATACAGTCTTTCACGTACATGAAATACGTCTACAAGCCTCTAAAAGTAGATAAGTACCATAAAGGTCGGGACATGACCCCGCCATACTAATAAATATATGTCCAAATCATACTGACCAAATAAGCAATTTCGGAGCAAATGAAGCGCACCAACATTTTCCGCTGAGCTGATAGCCTACTTGGAGGACTCTCGACCTGTCTATCGGGACCTGCGGGCATGAAACGCAGCGTCCCCAGGCAAAAGGGACGTCAGTATAAATAATGTACCGAGTATGTAAGGAATAAAAATCAGTAAATAATAGACATGAGAGAAACATGGAGTAAAAGACTCAACATGTATGTCTGAATAACTCTGTGAATCATTTCATATTTAATGTCATGCATATGAATATAAATGTCATACTATGCATAGGTATATGCATTCATAACATCATCAAGCCTCTGAGGGCATCTAATTATATCATCTCGGCCACTGTGGGCAAATTATCAACATATACCAGCTGATCAGGTGCTGATGCGTATATAACGCCATAACCTTTTTTTCATATCCCATATACATATAATATACGCGTATATAACGCCATCTGGTCATGGGTCAATGTACATGTATAGATGCATGAAATGCACAAGAAATACGTTAATAAGATTTCTCGCAATATCATAAAATCAATATGTCTTTCGGATAAACATTATCAAATACATATTTTTCTGAGACCCATGAACAGAAGATATAATGATAATTCACATGGGGAATCAAGAATATAGACACCCCTAGTACTTCTATGAATAGAGTTATTTATGAAAATTGTGCGTTTACTCGTTTCGTTTGTATCGTATGGATCATGCCAAAAAAAAAAAGGAATAGCCTTCACATACCTGGTCTTATCCCACTTGCTAAAGAGCTCAACTCGTATCCGCTAAAGGAAACCGACGTGAGTATAATCGTTATGTTTCTTCGCATGTGAACTATAAAATGATGTTGCATGCTTAGTTCAGAAAAACTCGATTCTAGTCTTCTTGTTTTTTTTCATCTAACCGTGTGCCAAAGGCTACCGGTGCATCAAGATTGATTTGATATGAATTTCTTAAACATATTGTTGAGGAATCCTTAGTGATAAAACTACGCCTATGTATTGTCTGTTGGGATTTTAAGCTTGTGTAGCTTAAAGAAGGTGAATGAGAAATGGAGAAAAAATAAAATATTTGAGTTTTCCTTGGGAAAGGGACATTGTTCCATATCGGAGAAAGAAAAGGCTTTTGATGTGTATATATATAATTGCTCTTCTTCTAGCTCTTAAAGAGTTAAGAAAAAGGCAAGCCTCGCGCCGTCGTCATCGTCGCTCGCTCGGCTTCGGATTCGGATTTGGTCAAAGATTGATTGATTAATCTTTTTCAACAAAATTTCTTTCAATTATTTATTTAATTAATTAAATAATTAACGAAAAATTTAATCCGAAATAACCCATGACCCGCGACCCGGTTTGGTCAGGCCCGTTTTCTTTCCCGAATTATTTTAAATATATTTTTCCCGCAATATTTCAAACACCCCTTTTCCAACAGTCATGGCTATTTCTGAAAGGTTGCAAACCTTTTCAGAAACAATGCCAGCAACTCTATAAATAGAGTTTGAATCCCAGAATCTTTCCTTACGAAATTTTCTGAGCTTCTTCTTCTTCTTCTTCTTCTGCACAATATTTTCCAGTATATTTTATGACCATTGAGTGGTTCGCAGTTCATCACAGTTTTGGTACCAATACACTGGTGAGTTAAATCGTTCTATCCTGGGAGGATATATTTCAGCACCTCGGATACTTGAGGGGAATAATTTCTTTAAGGTCACACTGTGTATTCAGTGGGCTCGATTTATTCCTATACTGTTTTTTATTTTCCAGAATCTATTTCGTTAAATAAGTATTACTAACTTTCTGTTTTGTTTTTCCAGAAAGTTTAATTGTTTATTACAGCAATACAGAATAATAACAATCTTAAGGAAATTACTTTTTTTTTATATTCTGTATTTTGTTTGTGGAGATTAAAACCTGTGTGGTTTTCTACTCCTTCTGAATTTTACTATTCTGATTTGAAGATATAAAAATTCATTAGAATATTGAAATTCATAAGATGATTTGAAGAACATAAAAACTTCATCGTTTTTCTGTAAAACAGTATATAAAAACTTCAGTTTTATTTATTATACATACTATTTTTTTTGTTAATAACAGTATTGTGTACTGTTCTAATTTTTTCATTAATTGAACTCTTCTGTTGTTTACAGTGAGAAATGGTAATTAATAACGGAAATTCTTCTGCGACTATTACGGCAATGACGATAGCCTCGTCAAGTCGGACTGTTGTTCCACCGGCAGAGAAACCGGGGAAATTTTTCGGAGCCAACTTCAAAGGATGGCAGCAAAGGGTATTCTTCTGGCTTACCACACTTGGTATGCAGAAATTCACTAGTGAAGAACCTCCAGTGCCTACTGCGGACATGCCGGACAACGAGAAATTCATGATTGTTGAGGCGTGG